GGGCTTAAACCCTGGCTGTGCATACAGTGACTTGGGCAAACTTTGACTTTGGGTAAAATAGAATAAACACAAATACTAGACTATGAATATTGTGCAGGATGGACCAAATCTAACTATTGTATGCCTAATTCTTAGTACAGTTTTTGGATCTTAGATGCTTAATATTTGCTGAATGTTATTAGATAAAACGGATATACAGATAATCCTTGACTTACTATGATTCAACTTATATTTTTACTTTACAAGGAGTTTAGCCAGATAATAAATGTATTTTGAACTTAATATTTTTGACTTATGATGGGTTTATGGGGATATAACTCCATGACAACCTCATCATAAATCAAAGAGCTCTATAAATGTTATCCACAGTCCCACACCCAGGGATAACCATCTTTAATCATCTGGGATATATAATTCCAATTTTTTATCCATGTATATGTTGTTTCTTTAGGGAAAAAAAATGTATCATTTTGTAAAGCCCTGCTGTATTTGCTTAGTGCATGTGATGTTTGACTTTATGTTTCAACTTGACTGGGTCACCAGCTGCCGGGCTTTTGGTCAAACATTAGGGGCTTTTGGACAAACATTATTCTGGGTAGGTCTATGAAGTTGTTTCTGAGTGAGATTAACCTTTGAGTTAAGCAGATTGCCTGCTTTATGTGGGCAGGCTTCATCCAAGTATTTGGACCTCCATAGGGAAAAAAAAAAAAAAAACTTTGGGTAAGAACTCCTTCTACCTGACTGACTGAATGAGATAGCCATCTTTTCCTGCCTTCTAAACAGAACTGAAGAATTAGCTCTTCTTGGGTTTCCATTCTGTCAGTTTGGAGATTAAAATGCACACTATTGGAACACCTCATTCTGGGGCCTTCAGACTCTCTGGAACTACTATGCCATTGGCTTTCCTGAGTTTCCAGCTTGAAGATTGAACTTCTTCTTGGGACTTCTCAGCCTCCTTAATTGCTTGAGCCAATTCTTTTTTTTTTTTTTTAATATTTTTCTCTTTAGTTGTAGATGGCCAACAGTACATTTACTTTATTTATTTTTATGTGGTGCTAAGGATCAAGCCCAATACCTCGAGTGCCAGTCAAGCACTCTACCACTGAGCCACAACCCCAGCCCTTGAGCCAATTCTTTACAACAAATCTCCATAGATAGATGCATCGATAGGTAGGTAGATGATACAGATGTATAGATATAGATATGGAATTTTTTTTTACTGGTTTGTTTCTCTGGATAACCCTAATACAGTACACTGCACTATCAATAATTATCTAAGTCATTAAATTTTCTTTTTCAAGAATATAATGTTTGTAGAGTATACTATTGTAGGGTTCCTTTGTTACAAAAAATTTAGATTGCTTTCATTTTATATGTTATAAATAAATGCTGAAGTGAATATAACTTGTATAAATATCCATGCATATTCCCGATTATTTCTTTAGAACAATTATATAAGTAGCTGGGTACTGTGATGCATACCTATAATCTCAGTTACTCAGGAGGCTGAGGCAGGCAGTAGAATTACAAATTCAAGAACAAGTTGCCTAAGCAACTTAGTTGAGACAAAAAAAAAAAAAAGATCTGGGCATGTAGCTCAGTGGTTGAGTGCTTGCCTAGCATTTGCAAAGCCCTGGGTTCAATCCCAGGTACAACTAATAATAATCATTATTATTATAATTCCATAAATGAAATTGCTGAGTAAAAGAGTATGAAAAATGTATAAGCTTTTAAAGCATATTGTTAGGAGCTAGAGATGTAACTCAGTGGAACAGCATATGTCCAACATATACAAGATTTGATCTCCAGTACTGCAAAGAAAAAAAATGAATGTTATCAATTAGCTCTCCAAAGTGGTTACACCCATTTATACATCTGGCAACAAGTCTAAAAGGGCATTTGGTCACTGCAGCTTCATTAATACCAAGTGTTAATGATTTTTTAATCTGCCAAATTTGATTTTTTAAGATATCTTATTTTTCAATTTGATTTTGATTCACAGGCAAAACATTAAGCTTGTTAACTATTCATGTTCTTTGCTGATTTTTCTGTTGGAATGTTTTATCTGTCTTACTGATAAATAGGAACTCTATGTTAAGAACATAGGCCTCGGGGCTGAGGATGTGGCTCAAGCAGTAACGCGGTCGCCTGGCATGTGCAAGGCGTTGGGTTCGATCCTCCAGCACCACATAAAATAAAATGTTGTGTCCACCGAAAACTGAAAAATAAATATTAAAAAAAATTCTCAAAAAAAAAAAAAAAAAAAAAAAAAAAAAAAAGAACATAGGCCTCAGCTTGGGTTGTGGCTCAGTGGTAGAGCACTTGCCTAGCATGTGTGAGTCACTGGATTTGATCCTCAGTACCACATAAAAATAAATCAATAAAATAAAGATATTGTGTCCACCTACAACTAAAAAATAAATATTTTTTTAAAAGTATTAACTGATTGATAGTATTAACAATTAAATGACTATTTCTTCTCTTCTCTCTCTTTCTTTTTTTGGTACTGAGGATGGAGCCCAGAGGTACTTTTACCACTGAGCCACATCCCCATGGATGTGGCTTTTGTGTGTGTGTGTGTGTGTGTGTGCACTAGGGATTGAACCCATGGCCTCATGCATGAAAGGCAAGTACTCTACCAACTGAGCCCCAGCTCTTTTTATTTTTATTTTGAGACAAGGTCTTGCTAAGTTGCTTAGGGCCTCACTAAATTGCTAAGGCTGGTCTTTAACTTGGGATCCTCCTGCCTCAGCTTCCTAAGTCACTAGGATTACAGGTGTGCCACCACACCTAGCTTAAATGCTTAAGTGACTATTTCATCTTGAATTTTAGTATATACAAATTGAAAACTATCATAACCATTTGATAAATGCTAATTTAGCTAAGTGCCAGTCATTATTGTTGGTCAAGACATACAAAAGACATGATCAGAAGGCTGACACTTAAAAATATATATATTCAGGGGGCTATAGCTCAGTGTTAGAACACTTGCCTACCATTTGTGGGGCCCTTTGTTTGATCCCTAGTATCACCAAAAAAAGAAAAGAAAAATCCTCTTTACCTGTGCTTTGTATATCCCCTTTAGTCACTATTTATTTATCTATCTATCTATCTATTTATCTGTCTGTCTGTTAACAGTGTTGGGGGTGATTATGCTAACAGATTTAGATAAAGTTTCAGACAAAGTAAAATTTTGGGTTATCTTGAATGGAGAATAGTCTATGGAATATAATTTGAAAACATCTTGATTTAGGCCAGAAGAAAGGAAACTGTCCTTGGATTGAACTTGGCTGTTGCCCAGGTGGATCTGGATAACCTTGATCTAGCCACTACTCCCTGACCCCAGTACTGGGGATCAAACCCAGGCCCTCACATGATAGGCAAGTGCTCTACCACTGAGCTGCACCCCTAGCCCTAGCCACTTTTGTTGCCACCCAAAGATTAATTTCCCTCCTAATGGATGGTGTGGCTCTCCCACTCAGAACCAAGTTTCAGCTAATTGTGTGATTAACTCTGCTTTCCAAAGGATAGTTTTTACAGTTGCTAGTACCCTGAAACATTATCAAACCCTAAGGTATAAAAACAAATATTTACCTAAAATAATACATCTGAGGCTGTCTTCTCCATTATTTTTTCCTTGGATGTAACATATTTTCCTTCTTTGTTTTTTTTTCCTTCATAAAAATCTGCATCTCTTTCTTCTGTATTTCTCTTCTTTCCTTTGATTATCCTTCTTGCTTTACCTCTCTCTCTTGTCTTTTCATTTATTGAAATAAAGAATTTAGCCAGGTGCTGAGCATGAAGGTGCACACCACTAATCCTAGTTACTCAGGAGGCTAATAAAACAGGAAGATTGTTAGCTCAAGGCCAGCCTCAACAACTTAGTGAGACCCTGTCTCAAAATAAAAAATAAAAAGGGCTGAGGAAGCCTGGGGTTGTAGCTCAGTGGTAGAGTGCCCCTGAGTTCAATCTCCAGTACCACAAAACAAACAAAATTTAGGTATATTCTCTGAAGTATATACTTAATTATTCATATGTACTTGTAATTATTTTACTTAATTTTTTAAAAATTAAAAAAATATTTCATACTAAAGATTGAACCAAGTCCTTTTTATTTTTTATTTTGAGACAGAGTCTCACTAAGTTGCTTAGGACCTCACTAAGTTGTTGATACTGGCTTTGAACTTGCAATCCTCCTGCCTCAGCCTTCCTAGCTGCTGGGATGGTGGTGCCACTGTGCCCATTTCTAAAGTATTTTAATAATTATTGTTAAGTGTCATGTTTGTGGTTTTTACTTTTTAAAATAGATTAATTGAACCACTCATGTTATTATGAATAAATTAGTTTGCTATTCATAATTGGTCTTGAATATGCCCACTCCCACCTGACCTTGCAGTTGTTAAATGACTCCTGGTAGAAGAAATGATTTCCTACCAAGATACTATAGTAATGCTGTGATAACATTGTTTTATTTGAATTTCTTTTTTCTAAAGGCAACAATGCTGGGAAGTCTTTCTAGTTTGTATGGCTCTCTCCATACCCAAAGTCTTGTACAACTGACCATATTAGTTTTGCTAAGACCTAGTTAGCGTTCATACTACGTGCAAGTGCCGTGATGGTGCTAACAGCGTGGGAGGGATTTTTCATTTCCATAATCTTTATTCTCTGGTCTGTACAATTCACCCCTTCCTTAGTCTGAACTGGAGAACTGAGTGGATACATTCTCTTTCCAGCCAGATTCTTGTCCCTCAAGGCCTTTCCTCTTCAGGGGTTTTACAGCTCTCACGGTACAGTTCTGCAGTAAAATACACAACAGCATGATCTTGCAAAATTGATATATTGAAGGAATGGTTACAAAATAACTCTCTGTTTACAAAGGATTTATGTTGGAATGTTTTTAAAGTGCATGTTTTCTTTAGTACTTTCAAATGATTTAAACCTTTCAGAAAGGCTTCTTATGGGTAAATAAAATTATCTTTCTCCCCCCTTGTCTGACATAGATATCGTTGTGCTGCACCTCACGGCTAGTCGTGTGTTTACCTCCATTTTAACAGCAATACCCAACACGGAGCTTTGGGTGGACTAAGAGACCCTGGTTAAGACAGCAGCAGCTACCCTCATTTCAACCACGTCACTCCACTTTGAATATTTCCCATCTCTAAGCGGAGAAGCAAAATATGCCTCTTATTCTAAGAAAAAGAGAAAATGATCAGGAGGACAAGTTAAACAGTACACGTACTTTAAGTGAAGGAGAAAAAGATCAGGATGTCATTAGTAGATCACTTCCTCTAAGTAAAAGAGAAAATGTTCAGGAGGAAAAGTTTGAAGATGCCTATGAAATTATCCCTGTGGCAACAACAATGAATCTCCTGTCTTCTTTGGAAGAATGCACAACTGGACTATACTTATTTCTAAATAACAGATTCACAGATGCAATAAATCTCATTTACCCGTGGTCTAAAAACAGCACATACCATGCCCTATTATACAGTATGCTTATGGTTGTCAAAGCCATCCTGACTTTTGATCCACAGGACATACAGATTGGGATGAACGCTGCAAAGGAAGCTTTGAAAACCTGTAACAATTTCCGAAGAAGAACTAGGATAATGACTTTATCTCGTATAGTGAGTAGACAGGGAATAAGAGCTGTCAAAGAAGAAGAATTACATGCAGAAGTCTGTTATGCTGAGTGTTTGATCTTGAAATCTTCCATAGCATTTATACAGGATGACAGTATGATTAGTTTTCTTAAAAGTGGGCTCAGCATTGGGTCAAGTTATCAAATATACAAAGATTGTCAACAGGTATTAACTCTTATGCCTTACAGCCACAGCAAAGCCCACAGACACTTGGTTGGAGGGATAAAATTTGGACTTGGATCATTTAATTTGATGTTATCACTTGTGCCACCAAAGACACTTAGACTTCTCAATGTTGTTGGACTTTCTGGGGAGAGAGAGGTAGGCTTGGCTTTGCTTCATGAGAGTGCATCTGAAACTCATATAAATAATATTTTAAGTGTTTTCACTCTACTCTTTTATTACAGTTACATCCATGTAGCTTTTGGTGTTGAAAAAGTTTCCAGTTTGGCTACAGAGAATCTCTTCCTCATATACCTCCAGAAATTTCCAAACTGTGTTGTACTTAAATTTTTTCATGCACGTTTTATTATGTTGAGAGGAAATTTTGAAAAAGCACAATTGAAATTACATGAGTGCATTTTTACTCAGAACGAATGGAAACAGGTTCACCACCTCTGTTACTGGGAACTCATGTGGTGCCACATTTTTCTGCAGGATTGGAAGCAGGCTTACAACTATGCCCATCTACTGTATGTACATAGCAGATGGTCCAAGGCAATATATGTGTACAGTAAAGCTATCATATTGGCCTTACTTCCTCCTGATTTTGTGAAATCACTAAATGATAACATGACCTCTCTCTTCTTAAATGTGGAAAACCTGAGAATCAAAATTTTAGGCACCCCTGTGCCAATAGAAAAGTTTGTTGCTGAGAAAGGTCAGCGCTATGGTACTACTACAGGCTGGTTTACAGCACAGCCCCTTCTGGAATTCATTTATGCCTGGAGTGGTTTCCGAGTCATGAGCAAAAAAGTAGAGCTTATTTCAAGCTGGCTATCAATAATTAACAAAGGAAAAGACCTTTTGCAGGAAAATCCAAATGAGGAATATGGCACAGATGACATAAGTTTCTTAAATTTGCTGAAAGGGCTATGCCTGAAACACCTAGGCAAATATTTGAAGGCTGAGCATTACTTTAATCGTGTTATTCAAAAGGAGAAGTTTTTAAAATATGACCACTATTTGGTGCCATATACTTACTATGAACTAGGAATTCTACACTATCTGAAAGGAGATTTTGCCAGTGCAACAAAATATCTAGACAACATAAAGAACTATAAAGACTATTCCATGGAAGCCCGGTTACAGTTTAGGGCTCATATAGCCCTTGAACAAATAGCTAAAGAAAAGTGATTTAAACACAAAGTGTGCTTTTGTTTAGCACGAGTGGAATATCTACAACCAGCAAAATAATTAGCAGGTAGAAAAATCATTTCTTTGTGGAAAAGGAATTCAAGAGGCAGCTGCTAAGATCTGATCAGTAACAAATAAGAAAGGAATTGGCCATTTCTTTCTGCTCTTTTTTTCTCCTTATGTATAAATGTGATGATTAGACTTGCAAATGGAGTGACCGAACATTCTTGAAAAAGAAAAGGCAAATGCTTTACATTATAAAAATATTGTCTTAAAACTTCCAAGGCAGTTTTTAACACCAACTTAGATAATGTATACAACTTGCAAATAAAATAGGAAAAGTGGCCACACTCAGGATACCAGAGGCCTGTAAATGTTTTTTTATTTAATTGTTAAAGAAAATGATCTCGAAGGTCTTACTGATATTTCAGTGATACACAGAATAGCATAAATTCTGAATGTTTTTCCCTTACATACAGTCCCTTTTATTGGCTTTTTGTATCAGAGAATAATTTTTCCATTAGGTGAAGGGGAGTATTTTTTAACTTTTTTCATTAGGAAATTCAAATAAAGGTTTGTAATTTCCCACAGGATAGCAAAGAAAAAAGCACACCTCTCCTGCTACACACATAAACCCTTGGGAGATAATTGGGGCCAAAAGGTTTTGTCACTGGGTAGAAAGAAAAGACCAGGCTCTTGGAGGAAGAATAACCCTCCCTTCCATTGTGCTCCCTAAAATGTTAATTCTTATTAAGATCAGCTCTTCAACATAATTAAACCACCTGTATCTATCCATTGTTGCTAGGCTAATCTGAGAGTAAATGGCAACTATAAGGGATGAGGCAACATTGTTTTACCTGCCTTAGAGATAAAAATCAGTTCCTAAAGTCCAGACCAGGAAGTCAGGATAAATATAACTGTCCCCCTTGTAGTCACCCTTTGAAACAGGTTGCTGGGGAAAGTGTCGCTTGGTAAAACTCGGTAGTATAGCACATTATCTTAATACCTTGGGTGTCCAAACAGCCAATTGGAGCACAATGAGGAGCCAATAGTTCATATTTAGCATTAATTGCTTTTAAAAATATTTTCCCCATAAACGTTTAAATGAACAATAGTGCTTAGTTATTCCCCATTATTTAATTAGTATGGTTTAGTGGTTAAGAGGTAGTTGCTTGCCCAACTACCTAGATTTGTATTCTAGCTCTGTTACTAAATAACTGTATGATCCTGAGTGTGTCTGCTTTCATTTCCTTAGCTGTAAAATAGGGATAACAATAGTACCTATCTCATGGTTTTACTATGTAAAGATAGAGCCAATAAGCCTCTTTTATTATTATTACTGGTACTACTAACAATAATACCACATTATTATTCAGGGCCGAGAACTTTCTTGGAAAAAGGTCCCTTTTCTTCCTGCCTTGCCAGTGTAAAATTTGACCTGTTAGTTTGCTTTCTCTGTTCTCCATTTAGCCTGGTCACTAACAAGTAACTCTGTCTAAATTGCAGTTTAATGTTTTGTAAAATATCCCAGCTTCTTCCTATAAATAGCAAATTAGTTGATTGATTAAACAAATATGTATTGAATGCCTACTGTATGCAGACACTGAAACACAGTACTGAAGACATACTATAAAGCATCATCTCTTTCCTGAAGGCCTTATAGGGAGGTAAATTAGAAAAGGGTTTCACTGGAGGTAGAAGCACTTAAAATACTCATTTGAACAGTTTATTTGCCCCATATAAAAACAATCTGAAGATAGATAGTTCAGGTCTGCTATGACCCTTTTGTCTTTCTGTTTAGCATGTAGCCCTTCTCATGCTTGTCTCCTCATAGTGGGAAGAGGCTGCCTTACCTCTAAGCTTTGTGTCCAAGCCCAATAGGCTGAAAAGATAAGGGACAAAGGGGCTTTCTCTCTGCTAGGAGGCTTTGCCTTCTTATTTCAGAAAGGACTGCCTTGCTGGACGTGGTGGCACCTGTAACCACGACATTTGTGAGGCTTAGACAGGAGGATTGCAAATTCAAAACCAGCCTCAACAATTTAGTGAGGCCCTACACAACTTCATCTCAAAATAAAAGATAAAAAGGACTAGGGATATGGCTCAGGGCCCCTGGTTTAAATCGCTGGATTAGGGGATGGGGTCGGGGGAGGAAGAACTGCCTTCCTAGGGACTTGATGTACATCTCAATTGCTAGAAATATTTGTATAGCCCCTGTTAGTTGCAAGGGAAAATGAAGATTGAATTTTAGCTTTCAAACCTCATTAGGAGGTTTTTGGGAGAGTTGTTAAGTGGACCAACATACAGTAGCTGCCACAACAAATATGTAAATAATAGACTACCAAATGGTTTGAGTGTGGTGACTCACACCTATAATCCCACCTATTTGGGGGCTGAGGCAGGAGGATCATGAGGCCAGCATGGGTAACTTAGTGAGATCCTGTCTCAAAATAAAACATGAAAAGGAATGGGGGTGTCATTCAGTGACAGAGCACTTGCCTAGCAGATGTGAGATCCTAAATCCAATCCCAGTTCTGCAAAGCAAAGCAAAACAATACAAACCAAAAAAAGCACAAAACACAAAACGGGGAGAGGGAGAACACTGCAACAATGAGATCAAGGAATCACTGGAGAAGACCATATAAGGACCTGACAAGAAATCTTGGAATGGCATTACCTTTGTGAAGTTGCTACCCACTGAGCCCAGATTCTAGCCCTTACCAGTCCAAGACTTACTGAGATACAGAGACTAATTCTATCCAAATTCACGAGAGATTGAAGTAGAATTTACTAATTTCTTTGTTTCTTGTAGAGGCTTTCCCAGAGTTGCAAACTTTCTATAGGGATCAGGAAGGTAATGTAAATATATGAAGCAACCAAGCATAAAATAATAGTGGTAGAAACTAGCTTCAGTGAAGAGATGACACAGTGTAGGTCATATTAGACCTAGCTGCATGTTTTGCTGTGACTTATTGGTAATTAGTGACTTCTCATCTATCCCTTTCTATTGACTAGAAAGTTCTCGTGTTTCATCTTGAACACGATCTGTCCTGATAAAACAGTGTACATGGAAAATCAACAGTCACAAAGCAGCATGCTGAGGATGGAGTTAAGACAGAGTAAGGCAGATAGTTTTAGGAATATCTACGCCATGTCAGTGTAACACCTGATGAATCATCCGTTCTCACACTATGCATCCATCCTGGGAAAATGTCTCCCAAATTCTCAGGACTCTAAGACATACTTCTCAAACCCCAGCTTTCAGATTTTTCTTCTCTGCCTTCTGCTGTTAACCATGGGTTACTTAATATTCAGGAAAGGTACAATACACTGTTTCCATTTACTAACATACAAGCCATTTCAACCCTGCTTCCTGGCTTAAAATTTCAGTTGTTCCCACATGCTTTGGTCATTCAGATTACAGATGGTCTCTTTGTGCAAATGAATCACAGATCTAATCACATCCATTTAATTTAACTTTTGGGGTCAGTTTATAAGAGATTAGAGGAGTTATCTCATGGTTGCCTTTTGTACCGTAAACACAAATAAGACGCTATTGAAGCACTTTTTATGCAATGAAGAAATTTTCCTATCCAATTTAATGAAAATAATTACTGCTGGAAGAGGCCCAAGAGCCTGGAAAAAAAAATGAATGGGAAGGGAAGGGCTTATGCATAAAGAACAAAGAGAATTTTTGTTACAGACCTGAGTCCTCAAAGCTTTCAGCATGCCCTTGCCCCAATCCAATCAATGAGTAAATTATGTTGATTACTTCTTTGAAATATCTTTTGAATTTTATTTTTCATTTTCACTTTTTTCAGCCTAGACTAGGACTTCACTTTTTGTCTGGACTATTGCAGTTGTCTTTAGGAACAGTAATTCAGTGGTGAACATCCTGTTTTGTTCCAAGGCAATTCCAAGGCAAAATAAAAATTGCCAATCCCACATTTTTTTTTCAAATAAAAATGAAATCTATATAAAGCATGTATATTTTTGCTACTTCAATTTCTCACTTCATTAGATAGATAGCCACAGAATTTTAGCCATAAAGATTTATTTTAATTTTTTTTTTTTTGTCTTTAGACATGCTAGGCAAGCATGCTACCATTGAGTGACATCCCCAGCTATAAAGATGTTATTGTCTTGGCATATTTGTCTGAGAATATTTGAGAAGCAACATAAAAATAGTTTTGTAGGCTTTCAAACTTTTGCTTAGTTCTTCAAAGTTCATAAAGTCTGTTCACCTAAGAAAACAAGCCTATCTTTATGTTAAGGGAACCACTCCTTCTCTGAGAAGGTAAAATCCTCCCTCTGGCAGGCCGGATGAAAGTGATCAATTTGGAGACACCCCTCTTCAAAAATCATATCTCCTGCAGGTTTCCATGGAGATGACCTGCGATTTGGGAGGCCAAAAATGAGACAGAAGGAACACAAATTTGAGGCCAACCTCAACAATTTAGTGAGGCCATCTCAAAAAAAAAAAAAGGCTGGGGATGTGGCTTAGTGGTAAAGTGTGTGTGTGTGTGTGTGTGTGTGTGTGTGTGTGTGGCCCTGAGGCTAGAGAATCACTAAGGCTCAGGAGTTCATGACCAGCCTTGGAAACATAGCAAGACCTGGTCTTGGAAAAAGAAAAAAACATCCACTTAGTGTTAATCTTATTAATCTTTAGGGTTGTGAGTGTAGCTCAGTAGTAGAGGATTTGCCTAGAATGCACGAGTCCTGTGTTCCATCCCCAGGACCTCCAACAAGAAAATTAGTATTGGAAAGTTCTTAGAATAGTACCTGTCACAAATGAAAGGAAAGCGAGGAACCGGGAAATGGGTGAGCCATAAATGAAAGACACAGACCAGGCAGAGATACACACAAGAGTTTATTTGTCAGAGTTGACAAATAGAGGCACATCTCTCCATAGATGGAAAGAGGCAAAACAGCTTTGGGGTTCAGGACTTTTATGGGGCAGGCTCAGGGATTAGAGCCAGATGGGTCCTAATGCAGGCGGTGAAGGGTTGGGTTGGTATGAGGGAGGGGTAAGCCTTTCTCAGAAGTGCCCTTTAGCAGGAAAGCGAAATTTTTCTTAAAATGTCTGTTGTCACTTAAGATGGCCATCCAGATGCTAAGCAAGGACCTTACAACAAGCTCTAACAAGCTGAGAAGTTTTTTAAAGAAATACAAATTCAATTCAAATTGAGCAACTATTAAATGCCAGGCCATGTGCTAGAGGTTAAATATATGGTAGTGAACAAAACAAGCATGGGCTCTGCATGATGTGCAGGTGTCAGCCTAAACTGATCCCAAAAGCCCATTGTTAAATATTTAGGAGATATTTATATTTATATTTATGTAGTTTTTGGTACAGGGATTGAAC